TATATATATGTCAACTTACAAGTAAAAACATTTTCCGATATCAGCCCAAACATGTTATTGTATAGACCTACACAAAAAAAGACAGGAAACAGATATATTATGTAATTTTACTGTAAAGTTATTGCTGTATGTGAGAACATGAGATTCAAATAAAATAAAAAACAGATAAGAACTATGGAAAGAATGATATATATATATATATATAACAACAGGTAGATCCAATGACAGAAAGAACGATATGATAGAACATACGACAGAACGATAGAATGATAGAACGATAGAACGATAGATAGATAGATAGATAGATAGATAGAGCGAAACAATAGAATGATACAATACGATAGAATGATAGAACGATGAAATAAACATTAGAGTTTATTTCAGCATTCAATTCAACAAAAACACAGCTGTCAAAAAGACATTTTCTGATTAGATATATTGTGCCAATAATATGATGACTTGATTTTTTGAACTATAACCCCAATATATTTGGAGGAAGTGTTGAGAGGTCACAGAGGTAAATGTGTCCACAGGAATGTACAGCATGTTTATTTGTGACCCAAATTAAAGAGTACAGTGAGAAGTGACTGGCCTTATTGGGTACTTTCATGCACATGATATTTAGGCATGGGGACAGGCCAATTCTGGCTTTCTAGAAATTAACAGGGTATTTGACTTTTCAGAATATGCCTTCCTCAGCATATGTCCCAAGTGAAACAGAAACATCAAGTTTAGCATTAATTAGTCAAATAACATTTTTCATAGCAGAAGTACCTACGTGTCCTTTGGTGCTTTCAGGACATGGGCACTTATACCAAGGGGAGAATTACAGTCTGAGTTCCTCATAAGATAGTCAAGTTATTTAAAAAAGAATCTTTGCACCTTTAGAAACACTTGACTTGACTGGATAAAATTGCCCCAAATAGAGTTCCAATGTGCCTCTCTAATTTGAGCAATTAGTGACACGTGTGTGAGGCAGAGAAAAGTGTGTCAAGGCAAAGAAATGTGTAATTTCCACCATAATACACACTTGAGGAAATTTCATGGCTTGGCGAGTGAATTTTAATAACACCTAATGACTGATATCTTGTGTAAGTCTCTAAGGAAAGTGTTACGTCGCTGACATCAGGGGGGCTGCCAGAATGATGTCAGCCCTTTTCATAAAAAAAAACCCCTCTTACACATGCCTATAAGGAATCAGTTTAACACGCACAAGTTCACAAACATACAAACAATGCAATAAAACATCCATGTTTCGTCTCCTGAAATACCCCAAACTGCCAGCCACCTACATCAGGCACGGTTTCCCCCTGCGTGGCATACAGAAGTACAGTGTTTAGATCATTTGCAAAGCAAAGCCTGAACAGAGAAACTGTTGTACTACACATTTACACTGCCTTAACCACAGAAATTTATCAGTCTTCTTATCTCCTTTAATCACATTGCATTTGGTTTCTGTCACACATTTATTTGAGGGGAAATTCAGACCTGATATTTTATCTAGAATTCAGACAGACTGAGCAAGAGAGAGACTGTTCTGAATTATGGCCATTTTAAATGATTTGCAGGCAAAGTGCAAATTTTTTTGAGAAGACAAACTTGTGAGCACGTTGAATTCGGTGCTTACAGAAACTCACTGAACTTTACTTCTTTCCTTGATATATGTAACTCTCTCACTTCCCCATTTCTCTCACTAATAGTGTTTATATTTGCACTTGTGGTTAAAGATCTGGTCATGTCCTGGTTGACTGATTTTTATCGAAGACAAGAACAAAACGGAATAACTTTTCTTGTCTCAGTTTCTTCTTCCAAACCATTATTATGTTTTCTGGTGTTCCTGAATTAAGCGAAAGCAGAAATAATTGCAATAGTTTAGGCTCTGAGAAGCATCCCACAAATGATTCAAATGTGTTATTTTTTTAGTCATTGATTAGGAAAAGCATGAAAAAGAGCAGCCAAAATCTGTCCACTCACACAATTTTATAATCTAATAAAGCTGATCTACAGTGTTGCCTCTTCCTTATGCAATTTATTAAAACAATGAACACACTAAATATCTCAAAGGTACGTGTTGTTGAATATATGGCAAATATATATCTTCAATATATTGAAGATATATTATGATTTGAAGATCAAAATATTTCCAACAGCACTAAAACATGATCAAAAAGGGGATTATATTAAAATCTGTGATAGAGAGCTACAATCAACATAATGATTAGACAATGAATGTAAATAGATTCTAGTCTTTATTGTGACTAAGTAAGATAAAAAATATTGCTGCTTAATAAAAATTATTTAATTTCTGACACTGCAATATATGTAAACATTATACGTGCTTTACCAGACTATACCATATTACAGAGGCATAGTAAATATTATAAGGGGAGAGATGTGTTTCCTCATTTTAAGGGACTTTAAATTTTATAATCTAATAAAGCTGATCTACAGTGTTGCCTCTTCCTTATGCAATTTATTAAAACAATGAACACACTAAATATCTCAAAGGTACGTGTTGTTGAATATATGGCAAATATAAAGTGTTGTTTTGAAGATATATTATGATTTGAAGATCAAAATATTTCCAACAGCACTAAAACATGATCAAAAAGGGGATTATATTAAAATCTGTGATAGAGAGCTACAATCAACATAATGATTAGACAATGAATGTAAATAGATTCTAGTCTTTATTGTGACTAAGTAAGATAAAAAATATTGCTGCTTAATAAAAATTATTTAATTTCTGACACTGCAATATATGTAAACATTATACGTGCTTTACCAGACTATACCATATTACAGAGGCATAGTAAATATTATAAGGGGAGAGATGTGTTTCCTCATTTTAAGGGACTTTATAGGGACACCTGCTCTCCAATAATCTTTGTTTTATTTACAACCTTTTTCTTTTCTTTTCTTTTTTTTGTACAGAGGAAACAATCGTTCATTTATCCAAATAGTTTCCTATACTTTACTATTAAGATAGACTAGATCGCACAATTCTAACTTGTGAAACTGGTCTATAATAAGAGTGATGACAGAGAGGGGAAGAGAGCTAATCTCTTAGTAATTTAGCAGAGAATAACCGCGCGCGTCTTTAGTTGTAATTGTAACACTTGTTCATTCTAAGCTCGAGGGGAACTCGTTCTAAGAACCCTCGGACATTTGCCCAAGGGTTACGTGGGTGTTATGTGTGGGAATGTATGGGATAAAAGCACGCACAGGCACAGACCCCAGTAGAGGAAACACGACGCACCGCGCACAATCACACTTGAGATTTTTCTACGCTGAATTTGACGCAACAGCATCGAAGGTAATATATGCATTACGCGCTAAACATCTGCACAACCAACTCAATTCACTTTAATCCCATCATTTCCATTTTAATTATAGATGAGATGTATTTAAAAGTATATGTATATATATATATAACAAGAAGTTCTAATTAAAAGTTACGTCTGCAATGTGACATACACTCTATTTTAGACAACATTTTGCCAAATCTAGATCTTCTGTTGTTTCATGGGCTTGATACAGAATATTTGTACTTTACTAACTTAATTTGGGACATTTAATTTGAACTGTAATAAATATCTAAATAAATAAAAATAAAAAATAGAAAAAAATCTAATAGAATGGTAAATAAAAATGTTGACAGTTTAATATGGATTTAATATGCCTTTATACATTGCTTTAAAGTGACATGTTAATATAAATGTTGAAAATGTAAATGTTCAAATGTTTCATCTTTTCATTTTTGGTCCATGGCCATATATGCCTTCCTTTTGATACTGGCAACTAATA